CATTAAAAATGGACAATATTATGTTGAATAATGAGACTTTTACAAGATACCAGAATGAGGCAGGGGAAGAGGAAAAAGGAAAGAAAAGTAATTCTGTGTTTTATTATTTTTCTTGACAAGATAAAAAAAAATTACTGAAAATATCAAAGAGATCATCGGTACTAGATCTGTACTACTAGGTCATTTATGCTACTAGAAAAGTGGGTTAATTCTGTAATACGCCATAGCTCCAACACCAGGAATTTATCATTGTCCAGCCACCAACTGGAAGCCTATCAGTTTTTTCCAGCTCTACTGAGGTAGGACTGACAAATAAAAATTGTATAGATTTCAGATGTACACTGTGTCATTTTTATAGGCATATACATTGCAGAATGATTACCACAATCAAGCGAATTGACACATCCAATACCTCACAAGATCACCTTCTCTGTGGTGAAAACACTTGATACCTACTCTCTTAGCAAATTTCAAGTATATACTACATTATTATGAACTCTGGTCACCAGGCTGTACGTTAGATCCCCACAACTTATTTATCTTACAACTGAAAATTTGTACCCTTTGACCAACATATCTCTTTTCCTCCCAACCACCCAGCCCCTGGTAACCACCATTTTTCTCTCTGCTACTGAGTTGGACTTTCTCTTTTCTTTTCTTTTTTTTTTTAGATTCCACATGTAAGTGAGCCCATGCAGTATTTTTCGTTGTGCCTGGCTTATTTCACTTAGCATAATGTCCTCCAAGTTCATCCATGTTGTCTCAAATAGCAGGATTTCCTTCTTTCTTAAGGCTGAATAATACTCCATTGTAAATACGTAGACTGCATTTTCTTTATCCATTCATCTGTTGGCAAACACTGAAGTTGTTACCATGTATTGGAAGCCTGTCAGTGTTCACGAGTTTCATGGCTAACCGAAAGAGTTCACATTTCCCTTGGCTACTTAATGAGTCTTGTCCAACAGATAGAAAAATAACCACCATTTCAGTTCTTTTGGACTTTTTTTGCCTTTATATATTATTTGTAGAACTAACATATGATGAGACTTGAGTAATAGTTGGTCCTCGTACATGTGAGTGTACATTTGTGTCTCCTCTTAAAACGTGACTTGAACCCAAATAGGGGTTAATGCCAACAATGTATCTTCTCTGTTAAATGTCGAATGCCCAGTGTGTACTACATAAGTCAACATTTCTGTCCTTAGCCAGCTAATAGCGACATTATTTTTAAAACTAATATTATGTACCTCACTTGAAGGATGATACTGCTCCCAATATTGCTTTACTTCTCAGCCAGCCGTCTTAACTGATGCCGAAACTATTTTACTTCCCTCGGTATTAGCCATCTTGGACTTTAGCCAATAGATGTATACACACATATACTGTCACTCACGAGGCACGTGCACACGCTCACACACCTCCACACACACATTCTCTCTCATTCAAACACCTTGAATTGGGGCATAGCTGTCTGAAATAATCTATTGAAACATAATTACCGTCAAAGGGAACATTTTAACATATAACCTTTCTGGAAAATATTTCTTCCAACATTATTTGTTTTGTTTTGTTTTGTTTTTTGCCCACATTTCCAGTTGACAGAGTCATGTACCCAGATCTTGTTGTGATGAAGCTGGAGCAGTGTAGACTCCTGGAAACTGCAATGGAATTGGAGATGCCGTTGACACCATCAGGCTAAAAAACATAGTCACATCTCACTGAAAGTACTTGTCTCATGTGCTTTGCTAGTGAGCATATCTTTCTTGTTCTGCGTGTTTAACGCCCCTAAGTTGTGAATGCTTTGTCTTCACTGTAACTCCGTAAGATGGACCTTTGTTTGGGCTCAGCCGGGGAGGGGGGGCCCTGTATGCTTGTGACTTGCTATGGACATAACTCTCAGGACAGGCACGTTCCCAGGTTTTTCTGCTGACCACAAATGTTATTTGCTTAGCCTCACAAGGCATTTTTAATTGTCTGTTTTTAAAGTCCTTTTTATTCTAAATTCTGCCTTCTTTGGAACTGCTGAATTTCCCCAATTCTCTGCATGACACATTTCTCCACATGACAGATCCCTCTTAATGACAAAACCGAACACCCTGACCTTATTACTACCAGCCTGTTTGTCATTATCACAGATCCTGCCAGTTCTTGGAGAAATGCCTAAGTTTGTTTCCATTTCTTTCTAGGTCAGCTTTTAAGTGGCTCTGTGTTCATTTGTGACACGGGATGGCCATTCTTGTTGCTATTGATCTAGATTCAAATGTAAGCCCTGCCATTCCATATACAGGGGTCAGTGTTGATGAAGGCTCCCTGTGTTCAGCTCTCTTATTCCTGGTGGCTTGACCAGACTTTTGTCTAAAGCACGTTGGGTGCAAGATGAGGCAGGTGTGGCCCCCTCTCCTCTCATTTGCACTTGACCTCCCTTAATTGAGCATTGATGAGAAGGGAGGCTGTTAGCTGGTAGGCAAGATTTGGGGGCAGATAGCATTATAGGATTAAGAAGATCCAGTGTTTCCTTTGCTGTCATTCAGAGTAACAGGCATAGGAAACTCTTTGTAGAATAGCTGGGCTTTTTGACTTAGAGGGCTTCTGTATAGAAGATTTCTGATGTCATCTTTAAATATGACATTGAGAGTCTTAGGCAAAGAATGGGAGTGAATTCTTGTGGAAACTGTCATTTTTTTTTCCCTGCCTGTTTATTAATGGTCTTTGTGATTTATAGTAAACGCTAGGGAGGATTTTCAGGCCCATTTATCATGGGAAGGGAACACCTTCTTGTTCTTAATGTGAGTGTGTCATAATTAGCAAGGCATGTGGGCTAGGAGATTTAGTTCTATCTTTTGTGAATGTCCTTCAACCTCATATTTAATCCCAAATTGATTGAATATTTTTTCTTCCATGAGGAAATTAATTATGCCACTAGAAAAACCATCAAGTAGAAAGGGAGTTAATATCAAGCACAATGTAGACTGGGCTGGTTAATGTATCAAAATGATATGACAAGAGTAGCTCACATTTCACACAAATCGGAATAATGGAAGCATCATTTTAATTAAAAATAGGAAGGTCTGTGTGTATGTGTAGCACACATTTTCAGTAAGAGCCACACCATTTATTTCTCATGTTCATGCATGTATGTGCACTCTGCAACCCATTGACGGCTGTTGCTCTAAATGCCGATTATATTAAAAATGGCCATCCCGAGAAGTTGCGTTTTTGCCATGGAACTGAAGCTGAAGAAAGAGGCAGGCGCTGTCATGGGCTAGCATCCATCCAACCAGTTGAAAGATTATAAATCCATCACCAGGCAACCTATTTGCTTAATTGTTTTCATCAAATTAACTTACAGTTCAGGAAGTTTTGGTGTTGCCCAGGCCTGCCTACGTTTTGACTTCTGTTGAGAGTCAGCGATACATAGACATTTTGTAGTTAAGTATTGTTCTTTACCAGGTGACCTCGTCTGTGCGGATTTTCTACTCCTTATGAGGCCATTTGGAATATTTTTTCATAACAAGAAAATCACATACAAGTTATTATGCTCGGCACCTTAGGATATACAAAATGACTGTAAAGTCTGGCACCTGCCCTCACGAAATGGACAATTATGTTGCATAGGCAGGAGGTTAGCCCAGTGAAATACTTTGAGAATAATTAAGTAATAAACGGTGATGCAGTTAGTGCAAAGAAATCAGAACAGGGAGGTATCAATGAGAATTAAAGTCATTGGAAAAGACCTTATGTTATTTGAATTTGAGCTTAAAAGATAAAGATTTAAACAAGCAGAAGAGATGGGGGAGGAAAGTGTCATTCTAGACAGAATAAACAGGCTAAGCAAAGGTGTGGGGGCAGTTCGGGAAGAGGGAGGAGACAAAAGTCGCAGATGTGCTGGAAAGAGAGGGGAAATCCAAACTGGCACTAAGGTAGGGTGGTGACGGAGAAAGATCTCGGCAAATCCCGTAGAGAAGAGCACATCTGCCCGTGAGGGAGTCATTGTGAATTCCGAAACCAAGAGATCTCATGTTGTACATGGTCACTGGGACCAAGTACAAAAGAAGTCAAAGCTTTTAGTCCAACAGGGAGCGAGGTCAAGGAGAGGAAGGGAAGGACGCCTGATTTGCAATGGGAAGTGGGCAGGACAGGGGTTGGTGGTCTCAACTGAAAGCAGTCTCTGTAGATCAAAGAGTTACAAAGCCTGATTACTGGGCTTATAGAAGTTTTTAGTGGTGAGGAAGCAGAACCAGCATGCGTTGACCACATCTTTAAGAAGTGTCTGTGATGGAGGAAGTTCAGCGACTGCTTTCTGGTTTGGAACCTGCAGCCTCATCCCACCGAGCAGGGCTTTTACTGCTGATGTTTGTAATATATTTCAGGCCCTATTATGAAGACACATTTAATAAGGAAATTGAGTTTTATTTTAGAAATTATGGATGTGACATTGAATGCCATTCATCGATCTCCCTGCCATCCCACATACAGGAAGGTTTTTTTTTTAAGGTATTACTTTTATAATTTAAAAAAACCTTTATTTTAAAAGCACACATATCAGTACTCATAAATCTATGAGGATATTATTGGAAGAATCATAAGAAACATTAACCATGGAAAACGTTGGAAAACAAGGTGATGGGGACAGTAGAGGGTCCGAAGATCTACTTTTCCCTGTGTCCCTTTCAGTAACTTTTGAATTCAGTAACATGTTAATCATCTATTTAAAAACAAATACAATTTTTGAAAAGACACAATGATGTGAAACATAAAGGGCATTTAAATTTCCCCTAGTTAATCCTCACAAACTATTCATGTATGTGGAAGAGTTATCCGCCGTGAGCTGTAAATCTCCTCCTCCGGACTCCGTGAGATTTGTCATTTGAGTCAAATGCAGCACGGTTTTGCTAGCATAGAGCACTGATGGCCTTCAGTGTTTTCAGCATCACCTTCTTGCAGACTATCTCATTCAGCCATTTGGAATTAATTCTGTGTCCCCGCTGCCTTTCGGTATGATGATGAGGGTGAGTTTTGTAGTGGATCCCCGATTGCTTTCATTTCCTCGAGCCGACTTGGCGTTGCCAAAATAGTCACAGTAGCCTGGTGAAACCGCCCCTCAGACCCCAAGCGCACGACTCTGGCTTAGAGGCTCTGGAGCTTCGTGGCCAAGGTGGTGAGGATACCTGCTGTATCCAGCCCCCACTCACTGTTCTTAGGGCAACCAACTGAGGTCATGGGAGTGAAAATGCTAGAACATTATCAAGTGCTCTGCAGTTAAAAAATATTTTGGTCTTATTGTTCCAATGATGACAGGATGCTATAGGCATAGCATCTTCCCTGAGATCTATAGAGAAGACTTATTTAGGGCATTATTCTAGGGTGTCTTAGGTTCACGAAGCATTTACAGAGTGAGTGAGTGAGTGAGTGTGTGTGTGTGTGTGTGTGTGGTTGTTAAAGCCTCTGGCCGTAGAAGCTTACCTTCTAAATCAAGTGTCTGTGATACATCAGGTAACAAATCAGACATGAAGGGGAGCAGACAATACTGAGAAGGAGATTGGCATTGAGAGACATCAAAGAAGAAATGTAGTCTAGGGAGAGATTGGAAGAGGGATGCCCACTTCCAAATCAAGAGGCAGCTCTAAGCACGATGGGCAGCAGGAAGAAGCCATCAAGCAAGGAAAAAGGCAGAGGCCTGTGCTGAGCCGCTCTGAGCCTATCTCCAGCCTGCTTTGTATTCTCCTAGCACCTTCAGCCCATCTACTGCCCAGGCTCTCGTGCCCATCTCCAGACCAGTTCTGTGCGTACAGTGAAGAGAGTCCTGCATGGAAGTGGCTTCCGGGTTTAAGGCACCCGGTCAAAGTACATACCCTCCTCCACGTCAGATTTGTGACTGATGGAGCTCTTTGTTGGAAGGCTTAGACCTTGTTAGAGATTCCTGGCATCCGGCCCTCTCTGCATTCCTTATGAATGTGAATCATTCATTCTCTGCTCTGGTGGAGAGCAGGGCTCACGGGAGTCGGCGTTCACAGCCACTTACCTGCCTTCATTCTCTCCCTTGCTCCCATTTTTGTCAATGCACTTTAAAGGCAAAAGGGACAAAAAATACTTGGCTGGCTATGATTTTTTGCCACATGTTTAGCTGTTTGATGGAAGCAGCTCTGACTGGTAGCAGAAAAGCCTGTGTGGCTTTTAATTATTTCCAGAAGACTTTAAATGCCACTGTATTCTCCCAAATGCAAAGCGTGATGCTCTCACGACATCACTGGCCCATGGTGCTGTCTCCCGTAGACGGTGCTAGACAAAAGCCAGGTGCCTTGGTTTGGGTTTGGTTTTTTCATTTCTTTGAAACTGCACGTTGAACTTTGTCCCCCAGTATCCTTAAAACTATTTTTCACCTTGACATTGTTTGGTACTAAGTCTCAGTATTCTGGAAGTAGTAAGAGTGTCCCACTGCTCAAAGCTGCCTTTGAGCCTCACAGTGAGCCACAGGCAGGTAGCCTCGGGAACGTAGTAAGCTTCTCAGAAGGAATCTGATGCAACCTCTTCAGCCACAATTGCCCAATTAGATTTAAAATGGCATAGGGTGGTCCAATTTGTCTGTTGCTAAAGGAAGACAGAATAATTATGGAAACATAAAACCCACAGTTGATCTCAGAAGTGTGTTTTTGCCCTCAGTTTCAAATTCACCAACTTATGTTTTGCCCCAGCAGCTTATGTCTGAATAGCCCATGTAGGTTTTAGCCTCGCTCCTCTCCACGTGGCCCACTGACCAGGAATATCAGCGTCACCTGGCAGTGCGTTGGAAACGCAGGACTCGGGCTCCATCCAGGCCTAGCAAATCTGAGACTGTGTGTTAATGAGTCTCCCGCTGAGCCGTGTGTACACTAACATTTGAGAAGTCTCACCTAAATGCACTCACTCGGTCCTCTCATAGCCTATGTGATATAATAGACCCATTTTACAGATGAGGAATCAGAAACCCTATGTTAAGTGCTTAAGTATCCAAGGTGACACTCAAGAGATCATCTGACTTCCAATCCCATCTTCTTCCCACTAGATTAAAACTACCTCTTTAAAACTAGTAGGGGAGGGAGCTCTCCTCTGTTGACTAGATGGGTTTCTGCCTGGTTCATGAATCTTATTAGCCAATTAGATCTTTAAAATTAAAAAAAAAATACAGAAGAGGAAACATAGCCATTTAGATGTGTGAAATAGACTGAAAATGGAGACAGGCCACAGGCAGGAAAAGAAGACAAGGGCCTGGGGCTGGTCAGTCCCCAAAAGGCTAACCAAGGGACACCCAGGTAGCTCAGTCATTAAGTGTCTGACTCTTAGTTTCGGTCAGGTCAAGAGCTCAGGGTCGTGAGATCAAGCCCCGTGTTGGGCTCCATGCTGGGTAGAGCCTGCTTAAGATTCTCTCTCCCTCTCCCTTGCCCCTGCCCTTCCCGCTCTGTCTCTCTCTCTCTGTGAAATAAAAAATAAATAAATCATTAAAAAGAAAAAAAGGCTAACCAAACCATGACTGGTTGCAAATCAGATGTAATTGTGAAAAGCCATTGCCAAAATCACTCATCAGTATCACCTCAGAAAGGAAGTAGGTGTCAGGTAAGTTAGGACAAAAAGGCACTAACTGCTGGTGATCCAGACATGTGAGAAGCCGGTCAACTCCAGTTCTTCTGAAAGTTCCAAATGATCGACTTGCAGCTTCTCTGGAAGTTCATGGACCACTGCTACGGGGGTAACCTCCTAGTGCCTTCCTGGCACCGAGCTCTGGCTCCCAGAGACCCTGTGATTACATTGGGGCCGCCCAGATTATCCAGGATCAAACCCCCATCTCAAATCCTGAATATATTCCTATCGGCAAAATCCCTTTTGCCACGTGAGGTACCGTATTCATAGGTTCTAGGGCTTAGGATGTGGACATCCTTGGGGAAGTCGTTATTTTGCCAGTCACGGATCTCTTTAGTCAGTCAGGACTTTAAACAATGTCACGTTCAGTAACTTGCCCATGAAAACGAGTGTGAGTGGATAGGTGTGCATCTCTTTATTACTCCTTGCAAATAAGTTGAGCAGATCCCATTTCAAACATCAGGATCAGACAAAGGGGCAGATACCCAGTGTGCACATGTTGGACAAAGATTATCTCCAGTGTAACACAAATTACAACTGGATGGTGATTCGCTTATCTGCTCATCAACAGGGTTAGTGCATTAACACACAAGACACTTGATCCTGAGTTGCTGGTGATAATACAAAGCATTTTACTTCCAAACTGTGTTTGGGGGCCACCCCAGGGAGGAGGACATGCTGCTGGTAACACCCTCTCCCTCCTTTCTGCCCAATCCCTGTTTCCACAAGGACAACTCTGCCTTTATCTGCTTTATGTATTATGCTCCTTCGTGCACTTTCTATTGGATAAGGGGGCTAAATGGATTTCCTGGGGGTGGGTAGGATACATGTCAGAACTACTGATTCAGACTAAAAATGGATTCCTCCTACCCCCTGGCTGGGATAGGTCCAGGGTTCAGAGTATCTGCCTCCAGTGGCCTAGCATGGTGAGGCAGATCTTTACTCCAATTCTGGAACCCAGAGTTCAGAGAGGAGACTGAGGAAGAGAGGTAAAATCAGCAATAAATGTTGATTCCTTTGCCCCAGGGCCATCCCTTACAACTTAATGATGACTTCAGATATGGAAGCATTTCAAATTATCTGGTAGACACACGTTTGATCCCTATAAAACTGGAAAAGGGTCATGTTGATGAAATTCATACAAGTCTCAACTAAAGACAAGGGTTTAATACAGGACTCCCCATCAAACATCTCCTGCTACATGCCTTTGGCACATCCTGGTCATGTGCTAAATATGTTGCCAAGATCAATACGTCGGGGCTTGCTTGTCGGACCCTTCCCACGTACTTGTCCCACCACAAAGTTGTCATCCGTTCTGGAGCCTTTCTTTTTTGATGCCCACACAGCTTGATTGAGCAGAGTGGCCAATTCATCATCCCTGTTTATCTCCTGAGAAAGGAATTTACAGTTAAATTAGGATTAGAATCAGCACTGATGCAGATGTTTGGCTCTCTGGAGGCTGTTAATCTGAATTAGTGAAAAGTCTGATTTATAAAATAGCCCTACAGAAATTCAGCCTTAATCCTCTGAGGCTCACACAAGAGCTCTGTGACTGATAAAGTGTTGCCAAGAGCAGGTCATTGCAGAGCTGCCTTAAGGAGCAGACTGGATTGTACAGACATGTCCCCACATGCTCCCTCTAGGGTCCTAAAAAGTCCCCCTCACAATCCTTTATACACTGTACATAAAGATCAAAATCTTTGAGGTGGAAAATACATTAAAGATCATCCAACCCCACTTGGGACCCACAGTAGGAATCTGTCTACCATGTTCTCTGTTGCTGGCTACCTGGTCATCTAAAGGCATTGAGCTCACTGGCCTACAAAGCCTTGGCTTCCTTCTGGGGCCAGATGTAGACTTCTTTTGAGAGAGGGCGAAGGAGGGAGGGGCAGGGGGAGAGGGAGAGAGAGAATCTTAAGCAGGCTCCATGCCCAGGGCGGAGCTCGATACGGGCTTGATTTCACCATCTTTCGATTGTGACCTGAGCCAAAGTCAAGAGACACGTGCATAACTAACTAAGCCACCCAGGGGCCCCAGTTGTAGATTTTTAAATCTTTCCTGATGTTGAGGTAAGATCTTCCCGACTAGATCTCTAGCTCGTTGGTCCCAGTTTTACCTTGGGAGGTAAAGCCCTCAGAACAAGCCCACCCCCTTTCACATAGGACAGACCTTCTGGGTTTTTGAAGACCGTCATCATCTGAACCTCCTCCCTCCCTGCCCCAGAATCTTCTCCAGGCAAAGTCGTCCCAGTTCCTTCATACGGCTTTCCGACACTCTTATCTTCTAGTATCACAAACTGAGCCCCTTTATTGCAGAAGAGGCCCGGTCAATGTAAGCATAGAGGGACTGTTATGTCTAGAGATTAGGGTGCCTGGACTACCACTCAAAACCCACCTTTCTCCCCTGGTATGCTGAAGCCTTCCCCACCAGGGCTAACCCTGCCCAGACAAGGCATCGTAAATGCCTCCCAAACTTCTCTCCCACTGGCCTGCTCTTGGATCCCCTTCCTAGTCCTGGATTTCCCCGCTAGGGTCTTTGACTTGCTAAGCCGGCTCCTTTGCCTTCCGTCTGGTCCCTGACCATGAGGACCTCCTAATTGGGGTTGGGGTTAAAACGAGCTTTCACTACTTACTGCAGACAGCTCACGCTGATGAACACAATAGCGGAATCGGATCTCTGAAAAGGTTGAGCCACTGACTTCAAAGTTCCTACAAATGTGGGTCCTTTGAGGAGTTTTATTACATTGGGGTGAAGTCATAGAGTACAATTGTAATATTTACAGACTATGGAGTAGATGGTTTAATATGTCAAATGTTAATGATTTTTAATATAACACATTATCTTTGTTGTAACCACTAGCATTCTTTTAAAAAGCAGTTGATTAAAATATGAGAGGAAATGGTGCATGGGAAATAATTCTAATACAGTTTGGTGAACGAAGAATGTGTAAGTTGCACATTACTCCCTCATCTCCTAGGCAGAACCAAGTATCACATGGGCTAGCTTTACTCGTAGCCACTTTAATATATATCCGGAAAATAAATTGGCAGTGTATGAAAATAAATGTAGCAGAAGGGGGGATTTAACTAGGTGAACAGCTAATGGGTCTCAGTGAAGACCTGTAAGTGAAATACTCTGATGATTTGCCCACTTGAAAGTTCCACTGTGGATTCTAGGCAAGAATGTGGTCCTTGGCCAGTCATTCCCATACTGATGCTTTTACTGCTGGGTGCAAGGTGGGCCCAGAGGAAGTGAGAGTCAGACAGACTCAAATATGTGGCTTACATTCCTCCGCAGGCTGGGTGCAGCCACATTCTCCAGCAAGCCCAGGAAAAGCAGATGGATGATAGAGGCAGAGGGAGGTACTGGAGAGAGCAATTTTGCTTCCATTTTAAACAACTGTTATTCCCTCCCTGTTTCCAACTGTGCAACTGCCCAGAGAAAGCAATTCTTTCTCATTAAGATGCTCAAGTTCTTCACCCCCAGTTGGAGTCCTCTTAGTACCCTCTCTGAATTCAAGTCCACCTTCCCTCTCGTCCCCAAGCATCCGTGTTCATCGGGGTGGGTATGAAAAGCTGGTGAGCCTCTTCCTGTTCTTTCTACACTAGTCTCCCTTAAGGGGAGATTGTCCATATTGACTGGCCGTGGGGTCCTTCCTGAGAACACAGCAAGAGACTTAGCCGTAAGAAGTCTTAGGGAAAATAATTTCAGGTCTCATTTTACTGGGTCTCAGTCAAGGTCACTCTGAGGTTTGAAAGAGTCTTTATTTCATATCCATATCTATCTATGTTTACTTGTACATATATAGTCCATTTTTCATATGTGGTTTCGGTCCACATCCACAATCCCTTAATCACAATTCTGAAATTGAAAAAGTCCTGAGAGCTGTCATTTTCTGGAACTTTGAGACAAACTCATTTCATGACAGAACCCGACCTCTTACTGTGAATGTTACTGTAGCAATATTAGTGAGTTTTATTAAGGGATCCTTCCCCAGATCCCACTTGTGGTATTATATATATGTGGTATATTCACATTGTTAAAATTAAAAAATCTGAACATCAGAATTCTTCTCCCCTCCAAAGGGCTTTGGATAAGGAACACCAGCTAAGTCCGTGAAGCTTTATTGTGGTGTAGCTGATGAGTAACTTTATTCTGGGAAATAAAACATCTGTGCTTTATGTGTATCACCTCAGTGCATTCAGTTTTAGGGGAATAATCCCTGGGATTGTTTTGTTTCTTACAGCAGTTGCTCAACAATAAGCCAGTAAACAGAAACTCTCTCCAGAAATATTCCAGAGTAAACCTAGACTCGAGTTTAGTAACATTAGGATAAGCGGAGTCTTATGAAAAACCAGACATTAATGCACAGATATGAAAGAAAACTAGAAAACCGCTTTTCACTTGCAAATCATAAATGTGAGCACGAGTTTGATTTTATCTCTGTCCGGCAGCCAGTCAGCTCAGGGCTGCGGCTGCTCCATGCTGGACCTGAAACGTTACTTGGGGGGAATTGAGGCCAAGTTAGCATAATGTCTGGATTGGTCTCATTAAATCTGTTCCCTCAGTCTTTATTTAGTAACCAAAGACAAAAACAATTGATTAGATTTAGAGGTACTTTGCATAAATATGGAGTCTTTACTGCCATTAAGGAGAGACCTGCAAAAGAACGCAGGGAAGGAGAGCGCTGGGTTGTAGGTCCCTGCCCCCACTGTCAGAGACGTAACACACACACGCACGCACGCACATGTGTGTGCGCTTTCCCAGGGGATACAGTCCCCTATTTCCTCTGCTTCTTCTAATCTCTTGGTGTATTTGGCAGAGAAATGTACTTTCAGATAGCATTTACTTAGCAGATAGCATTTTAAAATGAGCTTTGCTATATGAAAGAAAATACCTACCTGGGAGATTAAAAGGGCAGCCTTTAGGGAGGCAAGGCACATGGAATGAAAAGGCTCTCTGCATTGGATAGGGACTGACAAGGGGCCCATGCTGGCTTAAAGGGGATCCTGTTCCTTCCCAGGCAGCCGCTCAGTGTGGCTCCAACTCAGCGGGCAGAGAAACGGGCGCTGCTGAGGGGGTGGGGTGGGGGCAGGCAAGGAATAATGCTCTGTGCCTCCGGAGTCTTGGGCAGAAGGGTCCTTGGGGTCCCTCTCGCTCCAGATTGAAGGTGGGACCATAGGACGAGGTGCCCTCTGGGACGAGGACTGCACTCTCCTGAATGAGCCGGGGCGGGGCAGGGGAGAGCCCGGCCAGGAGCTGGGAGCATGAGCAGCAGTGAGCCCGGCCTCGCCACCATTGAACTTATCTCCAAAGAGGGGATTGGGCCGCTGAGATGGGGGGGGAGATGAGAGTCCTCCCCACCCCCTGAGGCTGGAGCCCCACTTCTCACAGTGAGCCCGAGGACAGGGGGCGAGGACATCGCCCGACATGCCAAGAGGCAGTGGGGACGATTTGTTACGGGCACGGGGAGCAAACGATTAGTAAGGAAGATTATTGATTATCAATAAAGGCAGAGTGGCAAGTGGTGTCAATTTTCAAATGCTTTGCTTGGTCAACTTTACAAATTTGAAATCAATCATTAGACTTGCTTGGTCCCTTATGATCATACCTCCCGGTCAGAGTTTTACAAAGAGTTTACAAAAATCAGGGTGCACGAGGCCAAGAAATGTGACTCTGGTCCCCTCGGGGCTGGGTGCTGGGCACCCGGCAGTGAAAGTGCTTCTCACAGTCCCTGCCCTTGGAGTCCCCAGCTCACTTCTCCAACAGCCTCTCTCCCTGTGGACCTCAGTTTCCTCCGATTAAAATGGGGGTTGAGTTCACCCCTCCTTGGTGAGAGGACTATACCGTGTGTACAGCTGAGATCACAGCCCCGTGACAAACCTCTGGGTTTCTGAACAAGATGGCGATAGAAAATGAGAGCTTAGCTTAACCAAAAAAGCATGGAACAGTTAAGAATCTAAGGCTGTGCAGCGGTCTGTGTCCAGAAGGCGAGCACCCTTGGCTTAAAGTGTTCATGTGGAATGTGGGATGCTAGGCTTTCCTGAGAGGGAAGGGGGTGTCCTGGAACCCAAGGAACTTGGCCACACACAGGCCTGGTTCTAACGAAACGTTTCACCTCCGGCCACTCGCGGGGCCTCCTGAGCCTCAATTTCCCGTCTATAGAATGGGACGGTGTGCTCCACTCTGCCTCTGTCTGACAGATCGCAGGCCCCGATGCTGCACGGGGGGCTCTTGGCCTGCGATGTGAGACGAAATGAGGCAATGGATGATGTCATTTTTCTTTCAGCCCACTCTTGGCCACACTGCAGCCCCCACCTGTGGTGCCAGCCAGCGGGGGATCTGGCAGCTCCAGTGACTCTGAGAGCAGCTCCGAGTCAGACTCAGACACCGAAAGCAGCACCACTGACAGCGAATCCAATGAGGCGCCTCGGGCGGCCACTCCAGAGGTGGGTGAAGGGGCAGGGGCTGTGGGCACGATTTGCCTGTCACCTGTCACCCCGAGCGGGCGGCCCTCCCCCCCCTCCCACACACACACATGCACGCAAAGCAGTAAATACTTCAGGAAAGTATTTGCGTATCTGATAGCATTTTTTTCCCCTCTAGAACATATATGTGCACAGTCCCTAAAATACGGACATTCCTGGCTGTGTGACTCACTGAGCTCCTCTGAGCCTTCAGCTTCCTCATGTGTAAATGTGGAAGAGTAATAACCAGGCTAGCAACTTCTCTTTTGAGAGACCCAGTCAACCAGACCCACTTCTGGCCCGGGGGACACCACCCCTGACTCCAGGTTGAAGTGATGAGTTGCCACTTGGCAAGGAAGACCCAAGAAATGGGATGGATTTTTTTCAAATTTCGGTTTGCATCCTCCAAATGTATTTGATAATAATTCGTGAAAATACCTAATACCCTAAAATGCCCAAATTATACTTTTGACATAAAAAAACAATGTGCTCTTCCCCTCCCATCCTCTCTGAGTCCAGAATGACCCCTTGGAGCCCCGAGGCCTACACCCTGTACGGCAGGCAGATCCCTCCCAGGGCTCCGTGCACACTTGTTTGTAATCATTGGAAAGGAATACTGGAGAATGCAGTAGCACCAATCTGGCTATTAATCGTAGCCAACACTGCTTGGACTGCCTGGGCTGGGCACCGTGAGAAGCTCTTGACCTGCGCTTTTTCATGTTATCCTCATAACACTTCTCTGGGGTCCTTGCTGTTACTATCCCCATTTTATGAACTAGAGAATAAGGTTCTGAGAGCTTAAGAGCGAACTTTCCCAAGATCTCCCAGGCAGACAGTGGTCTGTGCACTGCAGAGCCAGTAGCTCTAACCAGCTACTCAAGTGTTTTTAATTCTGTCACCCTCTATCGGCTGGCGCCATAAGCCTCAGCTGATTGGCTTTCAAAAGAAGAGCAGCTGTAATAAAAATGATGGCTCTTTTAGTTCAACAGGCAGAATTCAGAGTTGGGAATCAAGCACCTGAATTGTACGCATCATATCCGTGGCTTAACAGTGGACACTAATGTCTGCATGCATGTCCCCATAAACTGATTATTGCCCACACACCGAGGAAAGTGCGGTGGTTTGGGGGAAGTCAAATCTTTTCATCCTTCGGTACAAATAGAAAAGGCTGTTCTTTTTTGCATTGAATTACAGCATCATAGACGAGACACTGGCACTTTGGCGAATAGAAAGCCTTTCCTTTTGAATTACACCTGAGGCACGCTCACATTGCTTTTCAGGACCCGAGATCATTACCTCTGCCTCCTGGTGAGAGATTGAGCAATGAGTCCCACCAAAGGATTTTGGGAACAGGTTTCCCTGCCAGGCCTCCATGCCCACCCTCTGGGAAAACTCTCTGTGAATAATTCTCTCCTTCCTGGCCGGAGTGGAAACTGTTTTCAGAAGAGGAGTGGAAGTTTGTTGAAATAAGTAGATCGGGGCTGGTTTGCGGAGTATTTGTCTCTCTGGGTAATTTGATGAATTTAGATTCTGTGTGTGTGTCTCTAAATGTGTGAATGGGCACTTAACATCCACAGCTTTTATCAGCACTCAGTGTACGGAGGGTCCTTCCGGATTTTACCAAGATGTGAGATGCACTCTTACCGTTGTTTCTCATCTGCAGCCTGAGCCGCCCTCAACCAACAAGTGGCAGTTGGATAAATGGCTTAACAAAGTGACATCCCAGAACAAGTCGTTTATTTGTGGCCAAAATGAAACACCCATGGAGACTGTTTCTGTGCCTCCTCCAATCATCCAGCCAATGGAAGTCCAGGTCAAAGTGAAGACAACCCCCAGCCAGGTCCTGGCTGAACCCAAAGAGAGGCCTCTCCTCAGTCTTATCAGGGAGAAAGCCCGTCCACGGCCGACCCAGAAAACTCCAGAAACAAAGGCTTTGAAGCATAAGTTGTCAACAACTATTGAGACAGTGTCTCAAAGGACAATTGGAAAAAAACAGCCCAAAAAAGTCGAGAAGAACACCAGCATTGACGAGTTTACCTGGCCCAAACCAAATATTACCAGCAGCACCCCCAAAGAAAAAGAAAGCATGGAGCTTCCTGACCCGCCAAGAGGCCGCAACAAAGCCACTGCCCACAAACCAGTCCCTAGGAAGGAACCGAGGCCAAACGTTCCCTTGGCTGCCGAGAAAAAGAAGTACAGAGGGCCTGGTAAGATCGTGCCAAAGTCCCGGGAATTCATCGAGACGGATTCGTCCACGTCCGATTCCAACACAGATCAGGAAGAGACCCTGCAGATCAAAGTGCTGCCTCCGTGCATCGCTCCAGGGGGCAATACTGCCAAGTCCAAGGACGCCTGTGGTGCCAGCCTGACCCTCAGCTCCTTGGTCAGCAGCAGCAACAGCAGCCTAACCACCAGTGGCGAGGAGCCAGCATTTTCACCCATCCCTGTCACGCCAACCGAGCTGCTGTCCCCTCTACGAGACCACGAGAACCTCAAAAATCTCTGGGTGAAGATTGACCTTGACCTGCTGTCTAGAGTGCCTGGCCACCACTCAGTGCAAGCAGCGCCAGCCAAGCCGGACCACAAGGAGGCTGCGTCCAAGCCCAAGCGCCAGACCACTGCTGCGGCCGCCGAGAAACCCGTCCCTAAGGGCAAGCGTAAGCACAAGGTAAGCTGTACCCCTCTCCCCCCGCACCCCCGCCCCGCCATGGTCTGCCGAGGGATCATGAGCGGCGGCTCTGTGTTGGTGAACGTGATCTCGAGCCTCATGTGCAAGGAGGCTAATGACAGTGGATTGCAGTCTCTGGTGAGGGCAATGATGCTTTCCATGGGAGATGCGGTATTTGACGTGACCAGGGAGGAAGTGTTAGGAATGGTCAGGGTTTGGCAGCCAATGTGAAGAGTATCCGAAATAGCACATGAGGGATTATGATGTGTAGGAAAGAAGACTGTGGAGACAGTTGCCTTCCCCAGGCAGCCAGTCCCTGGGATCGGCTCCTTAAGCCACCCCTGCTTTCATGGACTCACGGGGCCACACCCCACAGTCCCCACCCCAGCAGCAGCAGGGCACCCAGGTGCTCCCAAGGGCTCAGCGTGCATCCCCTGGGCCTTGTTAATTTCTCCAGACACACATCGGCGTCCCCGCACCCCAGTTACATTTTGATGCTCCTGGCTCCTAGCAGACACACAGTCTGCCCAGCCTGCTGGGTCCCCTGAGCTGTGTGGTTGGCCCGACTGGTGGAAACCTCACCTGCAAGAGGTTAGGGCTAAATTCCAGGGCTACAAACTATCACCAGGGACGCCTGGCTGGCTCAGTCAGTAGAGCATGCAACACTTAGTCTCGGCGTCATGAGTTCGAGCTCCATGTGGGGTGTATCGATTACTTAAAAAAAAAAAAAAAAAAAAAAACCCCAGAAAACTATTGTCAGAAGGGGAAACCCAGAATGGCCTCTTCCATTTCAAATACATTAGGCTCACTCTGTTGTATCTCCAGATCTCAGGGCAGGTTTTTTGAGTAACATCATCTCATAGTGATATTTGAGTAATAGTACTTTTAATGGCTGCCATAGGAAGTCTGGGGCTCTTGCCCTCTTACTGCTTCCCCGCTCTTCAAGATGACAGCGGTGCAACCAGGGGCATGTCTTACACATGGTTTATTGCCTGGCATGTTGGTTGTGTAAGTGACCTTTATGTGTAACCCACGATCCCCGTGCTGTTTGCAGTGTTAGTTTCTCCGCTACTCATCTGTGGGGACATTGTTGATGGAAGAAGGGTCTGAAAATGATAGATTCTCTTTACTTTTGGTAGGAGATTCCTGTGCCACCCAATCTTTAATCAGAGGTTCACAGCGCAGCTCAACTCGCTCAAATGCAAGCTTCTTGGCTGATTGCTTTTCTGTCAGAGCAAAGGTGTGCATTTAACTCCCCTGGCTAATCTAGAAGTTAAAATAGAAGCAAACTGTCTACCTTGCTCGTGGTTTTTCAATGCCTGCGTGTGCCATGTATTTCAAGCTCTGTATTTTTCTTCCCATTAAAGCCAACAGAGATCGCAGAGAAAATCCCTGAGAAGAAGCAACGCCTGGAGGAGGCCACCACTATTTGCCTGCTGCCCCCCTGCATCTCACCAGCCCCACCCCACAAGCCTCCCCACGCTAGAGAGTGAGTTTGCCCTGTCCTTTGTATGACACTTCGATTTTTTGGACCCCCCCCCCCC